CCAGTACCCCCCAAAAAAAAGTCCTTTGTCACATTAATATTCTTCTCCACACAAAAAGTATAACGCAGAAGTCAATTTCCTTTAGTTAGTCCAAGAACCTCAAGCTAGACTAAGGGGAAAAAATCAGGGTTGGGTTGGAGAATGAGAGTTATTATTAGCAAGTAAAATGCAATGAAATCAGAATATGGTAATTGGGATACATTCACATATGACATCTCTTAAATTTCTCTTTTTCTCACTTTTCTCTTCATTTTCCCCATCCCTGCTCCTTTACTATGCTGCTTCATTCTTCCTGCTGCAACATTTTCTGCAAGAGATGAGTATGGACTCCTGACACCTCCAGATGTGCAGGTTTCATGGCATCATCAAAGCAGCCAGAGGGTTTCTTTCACCCAGTTTCTCTTAAAAACCCCTGAGCGAGAGGCTGTAGGGCTGCTTTTGTAAAACCTCTTAGCAGCTTTCAAGGATAACCCACAGCCCACAGTGGCACGTGTGCCACAGGCTCAGCACCACTGGTAGAAGCTGAGGCACAATGGTTGGTCAAGCTAAAGTCTTGGGCCACTCTCATGGTTACGGTCTTATACAAGTGAAGAACGAAGAAGGACGTGGTATGAGGACAGATGGACAACCATCATGAGCACATAGCCTGCTTCACCATTTCAACAGGCCCTTTCATCACAAGCTTGAATCAAGCCGTTTCCAAGGAGATAATGTATTTGTTCAACTTAGGCAGGCCTCCTATGACTCTATTATTAAGTGTATATTCTGATTCAAAACTCCATTCACCTATTTCTCAAGAAAGTCTTGATTCCACCTTCTGTAGTTAATGCTTTAAAGAAGATAGATGTACAATGTTACACCTTCTTCTATCTCTTTCTTAGGGCAACTGATTCTGATTTCTTGGTTGCTCCTTAAGACCCCATTCCTGAGACCTCACTCATTCTTGTGATCCTCTGAGAAGTATATGACATTCTTTTAACAAACACTTATTGAAGATATACATACTCTGTCAGTTTGTGGACTACAACATTAAGCAAGAGAAATGATATCTCCACTCTGAGAACATATAAGCCAAGGAGAGAATAGACAAGGTTATAGACTGCTTCCATGCACTGTGATATAAAAAGGCTGATATGGATGCTGTAAAAAGACAGAGGAGCAATGCAACCAAGCTTAGGAGTGGGTTAAGTATGAGGTAGACTCTTCCCAGAGGAGTATCTAGAGTGAGCCCCAAAGCAATCAGGTAAGCAAAGGAGGGGAGAGTGAATAAGCAATGGACAATTGGGGGGGGGGATTCATTGCAAATATACCATGATACAAGCAAGTATGATGACTTAAAGGATTAAACATTTAGATACCAGGAATCTTTAGGTGGCAAGTGACAAATCCATTTCCAAAGTTAAATAAAAAGTGTGGGAAGATTTAGAGAAAAGTCTGGAAAAATAGCTAATCCCTTACCTCTACCTCTTGCCACTTTTGATGAGTTATATTTATTCTCTATTTTTTCCCACACAACTAATAAATGATACTGTAAGCCTAATTTATTAATTAGTTGTTTTGCCATGGGAGAGAAAAGAGGAACTATTTCTATTTCCTTCGCCTGGCAAAAATACTACAAATTGTGCAATGGATGAGATTTTACACACACTAGAAGCTAACAGCCTTGTACTTTTATGGATGCTGACAGGAGGGTAGGGCAGAGACAAAGGACTTTATTTTGCACGGTACACTGAGGAGCATGAACTTCATGCTCCTGTCAGTTCCTCTTGGCTTCCAAGTGTCCTGAGGATGCTAAGTGGAAGTCATGCACACAACGGGCTGGTATCATTGCTGAGAACCCCTGAACTTAGAAAACTCATTTTGTAGAAGAGCTGCAAACACACCTTTACAAACTTTGCCCTGCAGGGATACACAAGAGAAAAATCTTGCCCTCTGATGTGAAGAAAAATATTGCTATCTTCCAAAGTGTTTGGTATGTAAATATCTTTACTAAAATAGTCCAGGATAAGAACTCTCACAGGAAGTGTAGAAATACCATAGGACTGCCCTCCAACAAAACCTGCCAGAAGAATCAAATGTGTGTTTTATGTCAAGTGCCTGTTATGAATCATGCACTTTTCTTCAAGGAGAGGAACAACATTGGCTCTGCTAAAGTCGATTTCCCATTCGTAGACTAGGGTCAAGGTTGGTTACCAAGTCATTAGGAAAAGAATGTGCTTGACAAAGATAAATCATATTTATTATGATTCAATAATAGACTATGTTACCAAGCTGAAGATGTAAGATGGGGGTCAGATCATGAAGAATTGTGTAGGTCATGCTAGGTTTGGAATTTTTTCCATGTGGAATAGTCATGTTAAAAATCTTAATAATGGAGGTGTCTTAATTTTATCTTCAGAAAAATCATACTGGCACAGACTTTAGGGATTAGGAGCTAGTAAATGAGGAAATGAGTAGCAAACTGTCCAGCTAAAGATGACTGGCATCTGAAGTTGGACACGGGATGGAGACATGTGGCCAAATGTCTAACTATAGAGTGGAGACAGAATTAAGGATAAGTCTTATGTTTCCATATAAGGAAAGTTAGTGATTTGAAACAGAGATTTTAGAAAAAGAGAAGCAGGGTTCAGGTGGAGACTAAACCCAGGTCCTTCTGAGCTACATCTCTGCTTCATTTTTAAAATTTTGAGATAGGATCTTCCTAAGATGCCCAGGCTGGCCTCAGACTTGTGCTGTTACTGTGTCAGCCTCCTAGATTGCTGGTATGACAGGGGTGTGCCATCATACCCAGCTAATTTTCTTTTTCAGGACCAGAGATTGGTTGGTTTGTATTTAGATGTGCCCCAAAGCTTCATGTGGTCATAGGCTTGATCTAGAGTGTGCAGAACTGGAATTGATTCATGATGCAACGCTAGGCTCAAGGGCAGTAGGGTTAAGAGTGTTACCTGCCCTAAGTAGTCTGAATAAAAGGGCAAAGAGATGCTGTTAACTCCCCTTTGTTGCCTTTGCTGCCTTGGGCCTGCCATGCCTGTTTGTCATCCCTGCCTTGGAGTCGGCCAATTATGGGCTGAAATTTCTAAGAACTGTAAGCCAAACCCTTTCCCCTTTAACTTTGGGTGCCCGGTATTTGGTCTCAGCACCAAGAGAGAAGTATCTAACACAGGATTTAACCCAGGGCCTTGGCACTGGGTAGTTTCCTATCCACTGTTAATTTGAGACAGGGTCTGTTGCTAAGCTTCCCAGGCTGGCCTCCAACTTGCCATCCTCTCACATGAGACTTCCACAGCACTGAGATTACAGGCCCGTGCCACCAGACCTGGCTCTAACTCACCCTTAATGGCTGGGCAATCTTCTATGATGTAGATATATTACAAGGTAAACAAAGAACTAAAAATAAATGCCAAAATGGAGAACTCAAGAGGTGCATAACGTGTTAAATGACCCGGAAGAGAAAGTTCTTCGATTGTGCAGTTGCTCAAAAGTTCATCAACATGAAAGGACAACTGTGGGGATTAAAGTAAATCCTTCCACTGTAAAGGCATTTTACATGTGTCAGTGATTTTCAGTTCTAAGAGCAAGCCACTCACAGTCATGGCTGAGGTTATGGTTTCTATGGCTATTTCTTTTCCGGTCACTCTTGTGAATAATCAGCCATTACACTTGTACAATGAACTTTCTTTGTGCTGCACTTTACTCATCCCTAATAAACGTATCCTCTTCTTCTGAGGACACCACTTCGTACCAAATCCACTGAGGTCCGGTGGCACCAAAAGTCATGAACTGGCAGGACAGAAACAAGTGCTATTTCATTTCTGCACAGCTCATTAATCCAGATCAACTCAGATGTATTTCTCTAAACTTTGGCTAGACTGCAACGTTTTGTGATTGAGTCCTTCCTGCTGGAATGTAATTTTTTGTTTGTTTTGTATCTGCACGACACTCCCTTATATTTTTTACCCTTATTTCTTTTTATGTCCCCAAAACTTGCTAAAATACAGTAAAAATTCTCAGTTCTTTCTTTAGGTAAGGAAGCAAAGTCAAGTGTCAACCCAAGTTACATCTTAAAATTTTTCATTCTATGAAAAAGAATTAAAGAATGTTGTAAGACCAGAAACTAATAAAAAATCACCTACTTCAGAGATTTACCACTTGCTTTTTATAGCTTTATTGTCTATTACCAAGTTTTAATGTTTCAAATAATTAAATACTGCAAATGGAACATTAAAAATACAAACTAATTTACCAAAATAATTGTATTCTGAATATTATGTACAATATTATACATTTTACATTATATAAAAAGTTTTTATACATAAAGGTAAGATTTGATTTATGATTATTGGAAACCCAAAATACATTTGAACAAAGTATTCCTATGCATACATACATAATTGCCCACCTGGGATAATCGAAACCATACATGAATGTGGTTATTAAAAAGCAAAATTACATTCATACAGTAATAACAGAAAATGGAATTTTTGATATTATTTTGAAAGTCTTATTTAAAAACTACACACATGAATGATATAACCTAGTTCTGCATATTTAAATTTTTTATTTGCAACTAAAATGTGTATTTCAGCAGAAAGTTTTGATTTTTAATTTCCTTTTTAAAGGGATCTATTATAATTCATATTCATTGATATACCCTGTACGTAAGAAAAAGGCAAACTGATTCTCAGCAGTAGAAAAGCCAAAAGGGTGTAATACATATATTGCAGAGCACTGCAGTTTTCACTAGAGAGGTCTTTTAGGTCCTTGGTTAGGTTAATTCCTAAGTATTTAATTTTTCTTGATGCTGCTGTGAAAGTTATTATACCATATCGCCTTGAAAAATAATTCTAATAAATTGTAGTTAGGTATGCCTTCAAATTCACAATTGACATAAGAGACTATATATTGAGGCACAGAGCTTAAAAAAGAAATATATATTACTGTGAAGAGCTAGCTACTGAAATAAAGATATAACTAAGTGACTTCAAAAAACATATTGTGAATAGGTACACATGTAGAAAACACCACACATACTAAATTAGTTTGTCATCAATCCTCCAAAAAAGGTTAAGACACAGATACACCTTTCTGAACAGTGAAATACCAAATTAAATCCAAGATATTGCCACGAGTTTTAGTATTATCTCATTTTCAACACTCCTTTTTCAAGCAGAACTATTGCAATTTTAAGTAATGCCGTATATGTTTCTAACAGACCTAAAAAAATTGAAAAACAATGTCTTTATCTGCAACAAAAATGGATTTTTAATTGCACGTCACTCTCTTCCCAGAAATGCAGACTGGTGAGAATTTTATCAGAAGTATACATAAGAATCTCAGAGAAGCAATCAGTGGACTAGCCATTCTTCTTAAAGTGTGTACAGCATTTTGCCAAATCCCTCATTATAAAATCCTGTATTTATCAAAGACAAACAGAACATGGAAATCAGGACTGAGAAAAGTAACAATATGAGACATTTACAAAAGCAATGCTCTTTCCGACATCACATGCTCCATGAAAAATGAGATTCAGATCCTAAGGTAAGTTTATTATTTTTTTTTCTGGTACATGTTTAGCTTGAATATAAAAGAAGTTCTAATCTAAGTTATCAAAATATAGTCATATAAATGTATGAGTCTTTCTAATAAAAAGTTTAAAAAGTCTAAATTCTTAATTTTTGCAATTAAATATCCTAGAGTTCAGTAGGCAGATTTATTTTAGAGCAGCTTGAAAAAACTCATTGGCTTAGCATTGCCTGGAAATCGGGCATAGCTACATTTCAGCTCTTCTATGTGATTTATCAGCAACAGCGGCCCCGTCTTCTTCCTCCTCTTCATAGTGTTCTTCTCCACCTCTCGGGCGGTTGTCGTCGCGGACTTCTTGCTCTTCTCCATCATTTTTATCATCAGCCTTAAAATTAGAAGAAAAAAAGAAAAACTAAGAAATAGTGTGTGGAATTAGTGATTAATAATTCTTTAAAAAAAAAAAAACGAGGCAAAGTCATTCATTTTTTGAAGTGCATATGGAAAAAAAGGATCCAACAGGCAACAGTGCTATAGCCTCTCCTAATCTTCATGTTCTCATTGGCACAGTTTTCCTAAATTCTCACAGTGGGCTGGATAAGTTCAATGGTCTTAGAGGTGCCATTCCTATTGGTGCAGTCCCAACTATACATCTAACTGCTGTTCACAGAATGCACCCCCCACCCCACATACATGCACAAGTGCTCAATGGAAAGATCCATTCTACACATACATTTTCATCATTTTCCCCGTAGGTCTCCTCAGCATTATGCTGTAGTTCTCTTTTTTTCTCTTCAGTCAAATCTTCCTGAACCTGAAACACACCACAAATACTATGACGTGCTTTCATCACTTGCAAGGACATGTTTTGATTTCTGTAAGTTCATTCAAAATAACAGAAACAAAACTAAGCTAAAAATAAATAAGAAAAAAGATGAAAATCCAAGTGTGACTTACTTATTAGTACAAACAAACATAATACACATGTAACAAACATCAATGAGACTGATTCTGAATCTAAGACTTTAAAGTTTGAATTTCTGATTCCTCTGAATAATGATTAACTCCACAAGGACAACACCTGATGAAATTCACTTAGAAAAGTAAGCATTCCCCTTTCCAAATAGAAGAACGATAGGAATTTACATGCTCTGAAAGAACGCAAATTTTATAAAGTTTAATTCCATCTGTTTTCAATAACTAGGCACATCTCAGCCATGTGAAAATTGCTCAACAAATGTTGAATAAGTCACTCAATGAATAAATAAATGCAAAACTACATTATCTCTTAATGCACAGAAAATATGCCACTGCCTGTATACAATGTAGCAAAAATTGATGTATCTGTCCTATAATTAAGAATATTTCTGGCTAAAATACCTAGAAAATAGAACAGTCATTTCAATTTCTTCATGTAATAATCCAACAAAGTATTTCAAATTCCTGTCTCTATTTAGTGCTCTAATACATTTGTTTTAGTTTTCCTTTATGTACACTATTATTACTATTTTACAATCTCAATTATTTATCTCAAAATACAAATTAAAGAAAGCATCAAAATACTTTTGTGAAGTAATCTCTATACAATGTTCACATCTCATAGAAATGTAAGGTAAAACATTTTCTAACTTGCTGTTTTGAAAACCTTATATATGTCAAAACATTTAAGTCATCTGAATATATCTCAAAAAACTGCTGAACATCAATCAGTTAGGCATAAAGTAGTATCCAAGTACTAGAAGAAACCTTGATCTCTTTTAGGATCATTGTATTACAGTAAATCTTGAATGCCCGCCATCTCCGCACACACCCATACACACAATACATGATTTTTGGAAAAGTAGGGGGATAGCTATTGAAAATCGGAGAAATGGGTAAAGGATAAAAAGCATTTAAGGGTTATAATTAAGTAGCATTTCACAGGACATTGAGATAAAGACAAAGTACTTATTTCAAACCACACTAAGACGTGAATAACTGGAACACTAATTTGCTGAAATGTCCCTGTCTACTTCAATGAAGAAAGACATGTCTTCTACATGCTTAATAATGAAAACATTATTTCTCAACGCTGAACATGGTACAGTTGAGAATTAGAAAGATGTACCCTGAACTGCAGTGTGGTGGAAAGAATATATAAATCAGGAGGAAGCAACTTTTTACAAGAAAGGTCAGAGAGTACTTATTAAGGGTTTCTGGGGCATAATGTCTCTGGCACAGCTACACAATTCTAACCATGCAGCACAGAAACAGCTATAAACTAGCATGGCTGTGTTCAGGCAAAACTCAATCAATAAAATAGGTCACAGCCCTTAGTTGGCCAGCTCCAACCACATAAAATCACGGGCATTTCAGAGGTGATGTAGGCACACAGTTTTTTTGTTTTGTTTTGTTTTGGTACTGGGAATTGAACTCAGGACCTTGCCCTTGGGAGGCAGGGGAGGGGCCACTGAGCTCAATCCCCAGCCCTGGCACATAGGTTTTGATTGTCATACTTTTAATGAGGTTGAAGTTGGTCAGAGCTCAGCTGGTGACAGCCTGGGTCTCCTGTGGTCCAGTTCCCTGATCTGTGTGGTGATATCATCCTCTGATGGCTGATGCTTAAAGTGTCTTAACTAGGAGTTAGAAAAACTGTGACTTTCTCATTCCCTCATCCATTCTACATTCACTGACTTTCTATACAGAACTCTCCACAATCAACTCTATGCCGACCAGGACTATGCATTTAATCATGACATTCCGCAAGGTCAAACCTAAGTGGTCTCTACTTCTGATTCTAACAATTCGTAACAAGCTGACTCACCTTGAGAAATGTAATTAACCTCTCTGAAGCCCCAGTTTCTTATGTGTAAAAAACAAAAAGATTGGGTATAGGTTTGGAGACACAAATCCGTACAAGTCTTGGGTGAGGATATCTAGCAAATGCACACAGACACACAGCAGTCCGCATGAGGAAGGTTCATACTTCCCAAATTCCATCCACAGCTGTGTGCCAAGGACCATTTACCTAAACAAGGAGCCTCAGCTGGCGGTGGCAATGAAGGGCACTTTGGAAGAACTCCAAACTCCTAGACCCCACAACAGATAAGACCAAACTTTCCAAGGGAAGGTCTGGTCCGGGGAAGGATTTGTATTTTTCACAAACTTTTCAAAGGTGACAGGCAGACATGGCAAAAAGTAAGGACAGTTTTCCTAGAGTACCAGCGGATGGGATGTTAAGAACGCATGGCTTGTGAGATAATCACACACCTATACAATTTTTTTTCCTCCATTCTTAGGATGTACCGCAGAAAATTTAGCTGGCTTACTAGTTGTCAATATAATCTTATTTGCAAATTACTGCTTTAAATTATTCTGTAATTTAGGGAACCCAAAAATGAATATTCTATAATTTTCAAGCTATAAAAAATAGAGTTCTGTACACACATTTTAGTAATATATTTTTCATTTTTGAGAGCAAAAGCAATTCAAATTCATCTTCAAGGCATTCGTAAAAAGAAACAAAATATTGGACCTCCAATTGGTCTTTAAAATACCCTTAGACCGATATTCAAAAGTTATCAAAAGAGCCAGCAGCCAAATGTTATCCCTTCATAACGTAGAAACACAAATTATACCTTCTACACCAACTTTCTTTAGTATCCTGCTAGAGCTGATGCAATGTTTTACCAAAGATTTCTAACACTGCTCCTCATTACATGTCTTAGCCACTACAGTTTAATGTTTTAGGCATTTGAGAAATGAACCCTATGTGATGTGGTAAAGTGTAGTAAATGGCCAAAATAAAATAAAGCAAATCACTGAATCTGAAACAAGCCTTGGCTCGCCACCCTACCCCTGCTCTGTGTCTTAACATCTTTGTTTTAAACATGGAAGATGCTTTCAATGAGCCACAAACCAGTAACCTGAACCTTAAGTAGCCAAGAATGCCAGCATCCAAAGAAGTGGTGGCATGTGACAAACAAAAAACCTTCAGCAGCATTAGTTAGAACTATGGACACCCTGTTTGCCAAGCCAGTGCTTTTCAGGAGAGTTTATGGCAGGTGAAAAGCTCCCAGGTATGGCGGTTCACAGACTGTAGTCTCGGTACTATGTGCATACATCTGGCCGCTGAAGTGAACGAAGAACCTTGAATTCGCTTTCTCTCTCTCGAGTGTTCAAATAAGCCTCTTTTCTGTTACACTGGGAGAATTAATGCATTCAGATTTGTTGTCATTTAATCCATTTTTGATGCTGAAGTGATTTTAAGGTATACACAGTAATGTTTGACAATGTCATCACTTGCCTTCTTTCCTCAAAATAGGTAAGACAGATGGCATGTAAGCAACAAGAGGAGGACCTTTAAAAGGAGTGTCTTCCACGCTGACAATACCAAACAACAACAGCTCGTCCGTCAGCCCTGTAAGGCAGGAACAGTGCAAGCTTCCTAAGATCATACTCGTTTTGGGTCCTTGCAATCAAAAGTTCAAGTTCCTAAGTCTGATGGCTGTGCCTCTGAACAGGGGTAGCCCTGGCAGGAGACAGTTCCTCCCCAGGAGCAAACGCTGATAGCAGCAAGTCTGACTGTGTGCAAGGAGGGAGCGATACCAAGGGCAGCTGAAGGCTTCAGCCTTGCAATAGGAGGAGGGGGCTGGAAATTCCAAGGTTTAACGAAGGTAAGACGCTACAGTCACATAGCCTTCCACGGTTTTCAGAGCGCTTGCACAAATGGTGCACCAGACACACATATGCTTACAAAGAACACAGTGTGTGTTTCTATTTTATTTTTCTCGTTTTGCTTCAGTTTGCCGAATACTTCATCTCTCACTGTCACTAATGCTTGAATGGTATTTGGTAACCACGCTTCTTCCCTTTCTAAAAAACACCTGGTAAAGGTGGGTAGATTTTTAAAAAATTCATCATCCAAGAAAATATCAGAAAAATACAACATTGCCTGAACAAGCTGGTCAGGGAGCAAAGGTGTACTGGGAAGAAGAAAGGCTCAAGGGTCTTCCATGGACAGTTCTCAGGGCAACAATCCTAAGGGACAAGGTGGCAACCTGGAGCTTACGGAAGAGGCTGAGAACTGAGGACACAAATACTGTCATAAAAATTCTGGGCATGAAAACAACAGGGTAAAGTACGCAGGACCTGGGGGCTGTGCAAGGAGAGGAAACGAGCTCTTGTCAGTTCAGCAGACTTGAAAGTAGAAGAGCGGTGGCCGGAGCGGGGCAGCAGCTACATTAGGGCTGCCCCCAGCCAGGGTAACCTCTCCGCCTTCTATACCCTCTTGCCTCGGTCTTTCTCCCCTTGATCTTTGCTGGAATCCCAGGATTTTTCTCCTCTACAGCTGATGATAATATACAAGGGAAAAAGAATCAGTAAACACTGATTAAATTTTTATGTTACCCTTCTGAATTTTTCAAAAGAAGCCAAGGTGAACCTTTTCTCTCTTAATCCCTCAAAGATTCCTGTTATCTGACATAATGAAACAAAGTAATATTAGTCTAGACATCTTGTTACAAGACTGGATGAATCTTTTTCTTGCCAAACGTCTTAATATTCCAGGCTGCTGGTTTCTCTAGTGCTCTCTTTCTGACAGACAGCTGCGGGGCTTGATGAAGATGAACATCAGGATGAGAAACGAGACAGAACAGAAAGATCAAGCCTGTTAGAAAACAGATGACTTAGGATGCTGTCAGTGGATGTAAAGGGCAACGTCCTTTTCTGCTTTCCAGATATAAGCTCACACTTTAGCTCTGGAAAAGATGACAACAGCAATAAGTAGCAAGCTGACATGGGCCAGGGACCTGTGTGTGCAGGTAAGAGCACACGCTTTCAGAGCAGGACTTCCAGGAGGGGTGTGCTCAGCTGGCCACGTGTTCACGCTCCCAGGAGCCTCCACTCAAGCACAAAGCTGTGCACCTACCTGGCTGAGAAAGGCTTGAATTCAGAAAGGCTTTTTACTGCTCTACGAGAGACTGAGCAGAGCCTGATCTGTGTTATATTCCTACACTGCAGGAGTCCACTCCAGAGAGGACTATGACAAAACGTAATAACAGACAGCATTCACCCTGTGACCCAGCCCAGGAAGGTTATGCCGTGATAGCTGCTACGCAGACCTAGTCTACAGTATTGTGCCAGAACTTTAGGATCAAAATCACATTAAAAGGAAACGTTAAGAAATTCCATCTGAATGCATTGTAGCCGTCTCAGTTCCTTAGTCCATATTTCCCTTCTCGGGTCCTATTTCTGCATCTCTTCATTGTTTTGTTGCTTTCTATTTTCCTGCAGGCTGGAGATGACCTAGGGTCTCAGGCCTGACAAGCAAATACTCTACAACTAAGCTACATCTCTAGCCCTTGTTACGGTTAAATTTAGTTTAGATACTGAGTTCTTCTGAGAGAAAAGGTGGTCAGAAGGAGAGATTTTAAAATTTATGAAAGTGTTTCAGGACACCACTGGATTCCAGTGGACGATGTGGGGTATCCCTGTGATGCAGGCACGGGGGAAATGTCCACTGAGGAAGCCACAGGTGTCAGTCTGTGTTCCCTCAGTGTGCAGAGCTATTCTGCTGTTATGAGGGAAGGAGCAAAAATATTCTTCTAAAGACAATAGGAAACTAATTCTTAAGAAAGCCAAATGCCGGGGGCCAGGGATTTAGCTCAGCGGTTCGGTGGCCTGCCTTGCAAATGCAAGGACCCAAGTTCAATCCCTGGTACCAAAAAAAAAAAAAAGAAAGAAAGAAAGGAAGAAAGCCAAATGCCGGGGGCCAGGGATTTAGCTCAGCGGTTCGGTGGCCTGCCTTGCAAATGCAAGGACCCAAGTTCAATCCCTGGTACCAAAAAAAAAAAAAAGAAAGAAAGAAAGAAAGAAAGAAAGAAAGAAAGAAAGAAAGAAAGAAAGAAAGCCAAATGCCTTCTTAATTCTAAGTCTCTGGCAAGAACCAAAAAGATGGATTCTATTACCTTAATTTTACCATCTATCCAAACGGTTCTACTACCACCCTTCCTTATCCTGCTTAAGTTTTCTGAACATTTCTATAGCACACACGTCAAGTCAGTACTGCTGAGGTTCAGTTAAAGCTAATGTAACAGACACAACAATCCTTTCCATTTCCTGTGATCTTACTACCTCCTCTTCTCCCTCTTCCTGATACTGTTCATCAACATTATCTTCCTGCTGGTCTGGATTTCCTGCCATCTGTGGAGACAAAGAGGAGGCTCGTGTTACTGTACATTGGAGATGCCTTTTCCAGTGCCCTGGGATAAAGAACAGGCACGCCACCACGAAAGGGGCCAGGAAACGATGACTAATCATAGCATTTCAGACAATGGCCTAAAACCCACACAAGGGGCACACCTTTTCCCAATGCAGACTATGAATAATCTTTTACTTAAACCAGGCATTCACCAAATACTAAGGTTAAACCCACCACTGGTAGTGGGATCTGCTTACCACCAAATGATCCTCCATTTCAGCATTTCCTTGCTTTTGATCACTTTGTTGTGGCTCTTCGTTTTCCTCAGGCAAGTTTTCTTCTCTCACTTGCTCGGCTTCCTCAAATTCATCTTCACCTTGATTATTTGGGTCATCTGCTGGGTTTACATCCTCTACAGCTGCCCTCTATAATAGTTTAATAAAAATGAACCAACACTTCAAAACTGAGGATCAAGTTTAATTTCATTTAAAAGGTCACACACTGACAAAAAGTGAAATTGTCCTCCGTGAACTGTTCACATATATCCTCACCAAGACACACCAGTATCAAGTGTCTCAATGTCAAAAGATAAAACCCTGCTTTATTTATCAGAGTCTGAGACTCAGAATGAAGCACAAATAGTACTTCCTTTCTGAAAATGATACCAACATAGACCTCAAAACTCTGCTAATACAAGGAACATGAGCATAACTGAACAGACAAGAAAAACAGCAAATAAAACTCAAAGGACCAAGGAGGAGAAAAACTTTAATATAAATTAGGATGGGAGATTTAGATGGGCAAATAATAACTCCTTTATCTGCTATGTTCATTTTCATATAGACAACTTACCTTTGCAAGCAATTTTTAAAAGATAAACGATGAAAGAAAGCAGTTGATAGGACACACCAGAAATGATCTAGGAAGAGATGCTAAGGAGGACAAAGACACGAAAAGGGCTCTTAAGTAAGCCATCCATTTGTAATACTCTTTATTAACAAACACTACCATGAAACTGAGAGCTGTTGCACTGGCAAGGAAAAGGAAAAAACTGCTAACCAATCTTTGGCAATATATTATGAAAAATACCCTCCAAAACCTACCCTTGGTAGTTTTCAGGTCTTGAGGTCAACAAATGCTCTGAAAATGTTCAGCTTTAGAATTACTGCAATTTTCCAGTGAAGCTTCCAAATAATATAAATCCTCACAAAGATTCAGCTTTTAAAGTCAGAAATGGGCAGTAATGGTAATGCTTATTATGAGTTTCCCCAAGCCCTTCCAGGTCATCTATAGGACACTCACTAAAGTGGCATCTGCTTCCAAGAGCTGCTAAAGCCAGAGAAGGATTCGGTCTTCCCCACTGTTCTCCAAAGCAGATTCTACTTTAATTCACTTAAGAGCCTTGAACATGTTCAAGAGCTCACTACAGTCTCAGCTGACCTGTTATCTGCACATCCCTGGCCATAAGCTTCATTCGAGTGTAAATGACATTTTTCTCAGGAACAAAGAGGGGTAAACTGCTACCTTCGCACTAAACTCTACTCCACAATCTTATACAGATTTCCGTTTGTGCAGTATCAATAATTTATGTGAGAATGTAAGAAAAATGCAACCTGTTCTCCTCAAGAAAACACAGTAAGTTCCTTTTGCTACAGTTCCTAAAAATGCACACACTAGCACCAACTCCAACCAAATAATCAGGCGTTAACAGGCACATTCTCTTAATTTAAAATAGATTCAACAGTGACAAACAAACAGGTCCAACAATTCTAATTTAAAAAGCCCCAGTCGGGGCTGACAATTTCTTTTTAAAGAAGGCCTGGTCGCTGGGGATTGAGCTCAGTGGTTCCACTGCCTGCCTTGCAAACGTGCAAGGACCCAAGTTCGATCCCCGGTAGCCCTCCCCCTGCCAAAAATAATAAAGAATGCCTGGTAGAAAGGTCAGTGTTTCCTAGTATGTTTCTCAGATCAAATAGACAGCAGAAGAGTAAAGATTCACAGGCAAATAATTAAAACCTATGGCAGTTCGCAAGCTCATATGACTGTAGTACTCACCCTTTCCCTTTCCCCTCAATGGTGCACACTCACCGGCTTCATACACTTGCTTCCTTTCCTTTGTAGAACATTCTCTTACTAGCTCTTGTTCTTTCCTGAAAATATTTCTGGGTGAGGTTTCGTATTGGATACTTTCCAAAACACTAATCCGGGAAAGGCGTTCTACCACATTTCAGTACGAGTTAGGTGGAAAACTTATTTCCATCAAAGAACTTTAAGCAGTAAGCAGTAAGACTTTCTTGATGATTAGTAAGGAGAAACATGGATCTTCCTTTCAATTCTCTGGATCAATATGAACAGAGCCTGTGTGATAGCACAGACTGCCTGTTATGAACATGGAGGGTGATTCATTAGCAAAAGATGAGAACAACGTTAAAATAAAATTAATCTATGCTCAACCTGAGAACAGACTCACTTAACAGTCATTTGCCTTGCTCGAAAGAACAAGCCTTTAGTCTATCCAGGTGAGTTGAAGATCTTGCTCTTCTGGTAAAGACAAAAACCAATGCCAATTGTTGTGTGTCTACCTACTCATAATCTAAACTTTCTTTACCATCATGGTATTTCACCACTCTTTTCATGTATGAAACCATATGTTCTTATTATGTATTCATTAAACTGGACCTTCGGGAGGTTAGAGACTCACACGATGTACTAAAAGCCACAGCAGACCACTCAAAATGCTCAGGAAAGGGTAAGTTCCCTTCAGTGGTCTCCTGTCCAACTTCCATTCTTGCCTTCCTCATTTCCTTCATCTTTTAGTTACCTCCTACCTCAACATTTCTCCATTCTGCTTTTTCAAGGCAACATCTTTCTTTTCTTTCTTAGAGAAACCTTCAGCCGGTTTCATCTCACCTACACCTACATCATGAATTATGGTATATAATACTGTTCACATGTAATTGTGCAGGCTGCCTTCCTTTGTGCTGATGAGATAAAACATACTCCTAGGGCCAGAGGCTTGAGCCAGACATACTGTCCCTTTTTCTTCAGCCTCACGAGTTTCCAGATGTTGGGACCAGAGAAGAAGGCACTTACATTTGCCTCAGATTCTGGGTCGGCTTCTCGGGGCCTTTGTTCATGGGGCTCATGTTGGTGACCTAGGTCTCCTTCAGCTTCATCTTGGTGCTGATTTTCTCTGTCATAGGCTAAAAAAAATCAAAGAACTGAGATTAAGTCAAAGTAACCCCAACAGTGGCCTTCCTGGTGACCATATCACCCACTCTCTCCTGTGGCTCAGTTAACTCAATACACAGCATCCCAGATTTTTTGAATAAGCTTTGTCTTTTCCAAGACTGTGTGTCTAAAGACATAGTCTGGGGGACTGACTTCATTCCATCCTTCTAAAACAAATGTCATTAACAGAAGCTGCATTTCCCCCATTGTTAGGCAAGGAAATGATCAAAGCTTAATAAAACAAACTCTAGCCATTGAACACTGCTAAAATAATCAATTAATTTTTGGTTAATACCAGAGGAAACATAAGTTTCCAAAAGAAGAAATGCCATTAGGAAATGAAAGGAAAAAACAATACCTCAGTGGTGGAACTCAAAAGTACAGACAGAACCACCTCAGCCCCCTGTGCTGAAGGCTGTGGTGGGGCAGGAAGGACTCAGTGGCAGGAGAGTACTGCCAGGTCTGTGGCACAGCAAAGACTATGAGCAGTTCCAGGATGGGATGGGATGGCATGGGCAGCAGACACGAGCAAGTGCTCAGTGGGGCATCTGCCCCTGGCCCCAGTACTAACACGTCCCTTTGCTACCACACCCCTCAGTCCCCTCTGCAGTAACCACGGCCAGGCCCGGTCCCCACCAGGGCCCTGAGCACCCACAAGTCTCCTCTCCAGTGTTCCAGAACAGGCTGCCACCCCACATTTTGCAGATGCAGTGGAACACTTGTTACATCTGGTGATCAAGGATTTCCAGTGTGACTCCATCAGGGGCACCTGTTCTACCTTCCTCTTCAAGCCTCTGAGTCTTCTTTAAAACATGGCCGCTGGCTCTCCAGCCCTCAGTGCAAGAGTTAAGATGTGCTGGGATGCTGGCTTATGCAGTCTTGAAGGTGACCCGCAGAGTCTTCTGGGCCTCAGCAAAGGGGTGTCTGCTGTTAAATGCCTTCCTTTGGTTCTCAGTTTCCTTGCAGATCCCTCCTTGGATAACCAGTCATCTCTTGCCCACCCTTCTAGCTCCTGAGGATATACAGGCATCAGAAGTGGCAGGAGCACAGTAGTTCCCCCTTATCTGTGGTTTCAGTTATGTGCAGTCAGCCCTGGTCCAAAAGTATCAAATGGAAAATTCCAGAGACAGATAATTCATACATTTTAATCTGTGCGTTGTTCTGAGTTGTGCAACGAAATCTCACATTGTGGTGCTCTATCCAGCCTGGGAGGGGGAATCATCTTGGTCCAGCATATCCAAGCTGTGTACTTCACCTGCCCATTAGTCACTGTCATCAGATCCACTGGTGGGGAATGCTGGAATTCAGGTGACTCTTATTTTACTTAAAATTTGTTCCAAAGGGCAGGAGTAATGATGCTGGCATTTTAGATGTCCTAGCCATAAAGTGCTTCTTTAAAGTGAAAATGTAAAAGTTCTTAAAAGGGGGAAAAAAAAGGAAAGAAAAAAAAAAACTGTGTGCTAAGGTTTCTATGCTTTGTGGCAAGAATGAATCTTCTATCTGTGAAATTGTGAAGAAAAAAGAAATTCATGCTAGTTTTGCTGTCACACCTCAAACTGTAAAAGTTATAGCCACAATGCGTGATACAGACTTAGTTAAGATGGGAAAAGGCATTAAATTGATGGGTAGAAAATGTGAACAGAAAATGTGTTCTCTTGGCAAGTATTTAGCTCAGTGGTTCCACAACTGCCTAGCAAGCATAAGGACCCGAGTTCAATCCTCAGTACCAAAAAAACCAAAACAAAACAAATCCAAGAAAATGTGTTCTCACTGATGACGGTGTGTTACATCTGAGGGCACTGGGCCCATGAATAGACTTTAGCCAGCTCTTCCCTGAAATGAGTGATACTAAACCATGCATAGGAAGTAATGGTAATAGTGATACTAAGCCATTTACTACTGCATGTAACAGTTCAGTAATAGGTTTGAACTGAAAGCTATAAAAAAATACTAGACAGGCTGATAAAGAAGCAGCTGTCATATTTCCAGCAGAGTTAGAGATGCTGATGAGAAAGGGTACTAACCAAAGCAAGTGTTGAACTAAGATGACACCAGGCTCTGCTGTAGGAAGGCCCCAAAGGAACCACATTTCCGAAAGTACAATGAATCCAGGGCATAAAACATGGGCGATCACACTTGAAGAAGTGGAAGAACATACGGTACTGAAGGCCATCAAGCAGTGTTAACAGATGAAGAACTTGAAAGAACTTGGTCATATACAGGGGAAGAGGAAGAGGAAGAACTAAACAGAGTCAGAAATGTGTATATTATCAAAATTTGCTGAAAGATTTAAAACTATACTGACATCGAAGGACAAAAGTGTGGAGTATGATTATTGAACAGAAGGCAGCGTTAAAGTGGACCCAGATGATCACTGAAGTATTGCAGCCTCCCTAGCATGTTTTTATGAATTAAACGGACAATCATTTCCAGTTACAACGTTCTTCCAAAATATTTCAGCAAAAGACAAAAACAAAAAGGCTTCAATTACTATTTAAAAAACCCACCTGTTACCAGCAGGGAGCTCATCTTGGTGTGTGGCACTGTTCAGCTAGCTATCCGGGGGCCCTCACCAGGCGCTCAGGCCATGCAGCAGACTACATTATAATGAGAGCATTCATCATGGTGCCCTGACAGTGCTTTTCTGACAGTGGCAGAGTTCCTGATTAGCATGGGACTGGAACGGGGTACACCTAACTTTTCCTGAGGACTGCTCTTTTTCTTCTGTTATTTTGTTTCGTTTCATGTGTGTGTGTGTGTGTGTGTGTGCGTGTGTGTGTGTGTGTGTGTGTGCGTGTGCTTATTTTAGAGGCATAAAAACACAGAGCTTAGTAAAATGGGAAGTGGCTACTTCAGTGGTGTTGCACACTATACATTTTCTGTAACTGCTGAACAATCCCTAATAAGCAAATTTACTTTCCAAGATGGTCTTGTCTAAATCATTCTTCGGACCATTGATGCCTCTCCCAGATGTTTCTTTCATATCTGCTTAGGAAATTTACAAAGCATAAACACTGTCTACTCTGGACACTGAACCACTGACATGGTCATGGCTCGATGATCCTCCTTCTGACGCAGCTCTAGCAGCCCAACAGTACCCTAACACTACGCCCCAGTGCCTATGTCGAACGCTTCCCTTCATCTCACCATGTGGGCATTTTATCAGCTCATCTAAAGCCATAAGAGGACGATCCATCCTCAGATGGGTCCCCGGTGCTGGTCTCTCCCCCCACTGCCCTAAGGTGATCACACCTGGTTCCAGGGAGCCGCACACTGTCTATCGCAGTGACCAACACACAGAGTGATGGCAGGAGGATATGGCTATGAGAGAGTCTACACAGCAAGGAGTAGGAGGCCTCTTCCCTGGCACTCTCCTTTACTATGGCTCCCTTGTGGGAAGAGACCTAATGTTTTGCAACCCAACAAAAAACAGTGCTCCACCAACAGTTGTAGCCACTTTTATTCCTGTGGTCAATTTCAACGATGAACTATTTTGACAGTCTGGCCTGGAAGGCAACTCAACCTTCACATGTTTTCAAAACTTATTTCCCCAGCCAGGTTTCCCTGGATTTGACAAGCAGTGACACTTGTTGTTGAAGACTAAGGCCGGCATGGCCACTTTCAAGGAGGTATCTCCCAGACTGTTTCGGTCCGTGCCTTCATGTGGCCAAAGGCAGGGCTCAGGGAAGGTGACAGGATTGATGGGTGCACTACAGCTGGTATGGTGTTGGGAGGTGGGGCCTGGACAGAAGATAGGGGTTATTGGGGCATGACCTGGTAAAGTGAGTCTTCTCTTTCTGGTTCCTCCCTTTTCTTTCTGCTCTTGCCTGCCTCGATGTGAGCAGCTCTCCTTCCCTTTGCCATGCCTCTCTACCATGCTCTCTTACCTTGGAGCCAGCAAAATAAAGCAAAATAAACCTTACTTCCCTTAAGTCATGGGTATCAGGTATTTGTCTCAGCCACAAGAGAAGTGCTAAGACTCTGCAGAACTCTGATGCCAGTGATGGTGTGGACATTCTAAAAAGATTTAACAGCCAACAACAGGCCTGAAGTTCTGAAAAGAGAGGACTGGGAAATGATGGAATGTATTGCTCTGCTTGTTTCCTGCCAAGGGCTGCTTCATCGCATATCCCAGACTCAGACGAACTGCTGACTGAAACCAAGGCAAGACACACTGTTACCTTCAGTTCCCAACCAGGGAAGAGCAAAAAACCTGACTGGAGCTTTCAGGTTTCCCAGAAGAAGAGTCACCAGTACACAAAGCACGCAGGGGAGTTGGGAGAAAGGCTTGTAGACCCTGCAAATTCTACCTCAAGTCATTTCCAGAGAGAGGTCAGCCAGATGAACCCGCCTCAGTCACCCAACTATACTACAGGGCTCACTTTGTGGGCAGTTTTGGGCAAGGAATCACAATTCAGAGAAGCTCCGGGCCTCTTGCTCTGTCTGAGGAACTGCAGCTGGAGAAGGCTGAATCTGAGGGGAATAGTCACCCTCAGGTGGCTGAAGACTGTGCTCGAGTTGATGCAGGAGAAAGAACAGATGTCACAGTTATTTAACTGGCTCCTCATCAACTTCTCAGAAGCTCTGGAGAATGGGAACAGTAACTTCCTAGCCGCTAAATGTCCAAGAAAAACTGTTTGCTCCTGGCCTCTGGTATCATTTCACCTCTAAGCTGTTCTGACGTCTTCCTTTACAACTGAAGTTTAAATGAAGAAAATGAAGCACTTTACCATGAAAAAAACCAGCCCACTGATATGGCAATGATGCCGCTGTCACAACAGAGATGCACTGCACAGTTATACTCATGCAGATGTATTCACCCTGCTTTGGGGAAATCTTTAGATGATAAGAACTCTCATAGCACACAGGATAAGAGCAAATCACTTTTGAAGGAAAGTAAGATAAAATTGGGAGGTTAAGTATACAGACAGTGTTCAGTCTACAGAAAATATAGGGGGTAATTTACAAGTGCACAAGGGAATTAAATAAAGAAGGGGAAAAAATTGTTCTCTAGTCACACTGATAACAGAACAAAAGAGCCTAAAGTGACCCCTGGGGGACATAAGGAAAACAATTTCTTGACTCTTAGTGCTATAAAATATCACAACAAGCTACTGAGGGAGTGTGGGTCATCACCTCCCTTTAGACTCCTCTTAGAAAACTATACCCTTCTAAGCACCAGTGGTGCCAGGGAGACAGCTACTGACTAGCTCTGTTATCACAGCAAGCAATGCTGGATAAATTACATACCAGACCTCTACCATAAAGGAAAGCTACTGTAGGTTTAATTTAAAAACTTTTGAGACAATGGTACAGAGACTTCCAAGGGAAAAAGAAAATGTAGAAATTTTCCCAAAGCATAATAATCCTACGATGATCTGTCAGAAATAACTTTTTCATATACAAAAAGATTCAACCATAGAGGAGGAAGATTATCCAACCAGTTTTTGCTTCCGGTACGCACTCTTTAAAAGGATCAAGACTAATCCAGTAACAACCACAGAAGCGTGGCTCGTAAACTTTTTTTGCACCTGCTCAGGTACGCTTTTAGCTTCTTGGTGTGACATAAAATTGGCTCACTGGTATTGTATAATGTTAGCGAGTAGTTTTATTAAAACATTCATCATCTGAGAAGTCTTACCACCTCCTTCCTCTTCTTGCACTCCCTGGTCCTCTGGCCCCTGAACAATATCATTATCCACAGCATTATAATGAGCTTGCTGCCTGTCAAGGACACAAACATTATAAATCTGGTGACACGGGTCATTTATCTTTCGAGATAGTAATAAGGTTTTCAACATTTTTTAAAAAGCCGTAATTAAAAAAAAAATTTCTAGTTACATGGTTAAGATACAATGATGAATGTATGCTTTCAAAAAGGGTAGTAGATATTTTATAAGAAAAAAATAAGGTTAACATAAAGCCTGCTAGGCTATTTTGAGTCCTAAAGTATCACTTTTAAATAGTAGTTATATTTGAAATTAAATATCTGGCATTTAATTCTCAAGTCATTACACTATCTTGGCTACATGAGCAGTATGAGCCTCTCACGTCCATGCATCGCCAATGCACAAAGTCGTGCTTCATTTCTTTGTTAAACTGAGTGGGCCGCTACACCCATCAGGCGAAGGGGAAGGGGAAGGGGAAGGGAAGCGGGGGAGAGGGTACCGTAGCTGCTCCTGGTGCTGCTCCCGGTCCTTCTCACGCCCAGCTTCCCTCTGCTGAGCCATCTCTCTGGCCAGAAGCTGCTGCTCCTGCTGCTGCCGCTGCCATAACAAGTGTCCCTGCAGCCTCTGCTGGTGCAAAGCTTCCTGGCGTTCTCGCAGCCGCTGGGCCTCCTCGTCCCTTCTCGCTGCCAGTCTCTGCTGCTCCAACTGCTCCTCGTACAAGGACCGAAATTTGGTGACCAGCCTGGTCGAAGGGTGTGCCTGGGGCAAAAATGAGTTGATGCTAAGGAAAAGGAATCAGCCCCTTAGAGTTTTGCTTTCATTTGTGTCATGACAAACTCAGAAGGACAACTGGTTTATTAACATCTGTTTTTCAGGTGAACACTTCAGTCCAAGAACTCCCGTTTCCCAACCTGCTCTAAATTGCCCTTGGCTTCTTTTAGCAGCTGATCTTCCCAATTTACAGATATTAAGGCAGCCTTTGAGTTTGCTACTTGCTCAAAATGGAACATAGGGTGCAACGTAAGAGATCAGCTTCAGAACATAGTTAAATTTCTGTTCACAAGCCTCTACAATAGCCAGGCACTTTGTAACCTACACTAATTGGGCCATTTGTGCAGCTAAGGCTTTTTCCATGAAGAGTTAAAGACCTAGGAATTAGTTAATTAATTCCAGCAGTATATATACCGACCTCAAACTAAGAGCCAAAATAAATGTCAAATTCCAGATTACACGGGGACAGCGGAAAACCGATTTTCTTCAAAGAAATAGAGTAACAGGTGAAAAGGCTGAACAAAGAAAAGAGAGCATGGAGTTGAGGGGAATTAAACCACGTGAGGAACTGCTCTCCTTAACGAGGGAGGGCACAGACTGACAAAGGTGTCTGAGGGCTATGTTTGCAACTACGTAACAGGGCAGCTATAGAGGCCACTGCATCCACACAGCCCGAAGCCTCCAGCCACTCTAAGTCTTTCTGAACCCAAAGCATCAGAGTTATAAAGAGTTAATCAGCATCCAGGCAAAGGCCAGGTGATCTGCCATTGAGTGTAAGTTTAGAGGTAGTAGAAGAAAGGAACCTAGCTGTTTTGGAATTCAGTGTTTTGCTAAAGTACTGCTTATATTACTAGCCAGTTATTTTTTTTTTAAACAGAAAAGCTGTACTTATGTGTGAGGAGCATCAGAGACAAAGCAGAAACTGGTTAAACGTAGTTACCTAATAAAATATTCCTATGTGATAAACTAGCTTTTTTTTTTGAGACATGGTCTTGCCATGTAGTTCAGGCTGACCTTGAACTAACTCTGTAGGCCAAGCTGGCCTAGAACTTGCAGCGATCCTCCTTCCTCAGCCTCCTGAGTACTGGGATTACAGGCCTGCGCCACCACGCCCAGCCTTGGTAAAGTACCTTCTGATAAAAGCCATTTTACTGTGGAAGGTAAATGAGCAAATGCCACCACACTAGCAGGCTCTACATGAACAAGAAGAGGGGGACTCTTGAGCATAAAAAAATCAAGACCTTTTTTATCTCAAGATACTCAAAATAGGATTTGAGCACAGCCTGGCAAAGTAACTGGTAAGGAGCTCAACTATTCCACTGTCTGAGGGACATGAGGATTGTGCACCACTGACAACAGGAAGAATCACACACACACACACACACACACACACACACACACACACCAGCTCCAACTGCTCTTGTCATCCACCATCTTTCTGAGGCACTTAAGTGGCTATGCTATTAATATTACAATAATAAACTTAAATACATGGCACATTACATTTAGTGAAATCCTCCAATTTTTAAAAAGCTTGCAATACATGAGAAGGATTTCTTCTTGACTACTAAAAGTAAAGCCATGTTTCCCACGCGGGTGGACCCGAAGTGTGGCCCGCACCTCGGCGTGAACACGCCCCTCTCGCAGGCTGGCCGCTTCCTTCTGTTCCCGCTGCTCTCTCCACTCCCGGTCCTGCTCCTCCGGCGATGGGTCGTGTTCCTCCTCGAGATGCTCAGCCTGCCCGACCTGCTCCATCTCCTCCTCCTCCAGGGCCTTTCTGTGCTCCTCCTCCACCCGGTGCTCTTCTGGCTCTCTGGTTTCCAGCTGGCGTGGGTTGTGCTCTGCTGCAGCCTGGAATTCTGCCCCCTTCGGGGTGGGAGGATAAGGTTTAATTTCTTCTGCTCTTCCAGGCATTGCTCCTTGTTTCTGCCACACATCACTATTGTGAGACTCCTAGGCCAAGTAAATCATGGGAAATGACATGCTTGCATTTCAGAAGTAGCAATACAACATCTTTATGACCACGCGTGTGGGGCTACAACCAAAGACAACTCCTAGAGTCTAGAAATATAGATTGTCCCGACTTAAAAAGATGGATGCAACAGTCACAATGTTTCTCATCCACAAAATAGAGGTGACATAGGCAAAACTTTATCTCAGCAAGAACACAGTTGGTGACCAGAGCAGCAAAGCCTATAAATACCCACATCTCAGATGCAAACCTTTCCCTCAAAAGCAATCTAACTCCCTTTTCCCTTAGAATAAAACAGAAAAAAAAAAACTTTTAAATTTCAAGTGACGAAATGGTTACAAAACTTTCTCCAAAGGCAGTTTGTTTCCAATAATTATTTGACAAGAGAAGGATAAGATCCAGTGGAAGAGCTGGGTATATTTTTCATTACAATAAAATATCATTACTAACAGACACTCCTGTTTAAAATCGTGCTAGCTAAGATACAATAAAGTATTCTTAATGTATTAAAATAAATTCCTTTGTAGTCCAGTCTTTTATAAATATTTTGTATTGTCAATACAGAAAACTGAACACAACAAAACAGCACTATGCCTTTCTTTAGAATACCATTCCTCTAAAATCCATTGGTTCAAAACATTTCCCGTAGTTTCAGAGGTCTCTATATAATACAATCTGCATTACTTAAAAGGGAGAAGTGATATGATATAGATAAGAAAATCTGTCATTCCTCTTCGTTCCTTAGCCTTCTTCATCAGAAAAATACTATTTCTTGGTCAAACGACTTCCCACAGTGAAAATAAATGTGAAATATTATTCTGAAACTAACAGAGATATAATTATTAAACTTTAGAAATGGAACAGTAGGAATAATAAACGGGACAAAAAGTCGTTTCTCAGATATGTGAGGGCAACTTCTAATGGTATACATAAAGTCCTCAGCCCTCTGGCAAGTTGGCTTAATACTGTCCAGCCTTTACAAGAAATATTTCTCTAGAGCTGTAAGTGATTTCAAACACCTCTCATATATCTTCACAATATCCCTGAGAAGGCTACAGTTGATAACTACTATCTCTGACTCACAGGTGGAAAAACTGAAGCTCTAAGTCATTAGAAGAAGATTAATCCGGTAAGACACTGGTCAAACTAGGAGAGAACAGAACCAAACGCCTGGCAAGTGACCTATCATGTTTTAGGCTAGTGGTTACCATAAGACCCAGAGAAAGATCTAGAGTCTTTGAGGATATGGAATCTGTCACGGAAGGAATGCTCTGAACAGAGTGAATGCAATCATACATGAAGTCTACTCAATCAACTTAGTTGTTCCCATAAGATGGCAACTTGCAGGAAGTCTTCTCAAACATTTGTCCTTAAAAAGCACTTTGCTAGGAGGAAAGATAGGCATAATTCTCATTTTTATTACATGTTATATTACAAAATAACTGTAAAAATTAATAAGAAGGACAACACTTTTGATCTCTCACTTATGAGATCTTAAATTAGACTTGATTTCCATGGAGAATAAAGCATTCATAATCCCAGGCAGTGTCACGCATGTACTTTAATATACATTTGACATGCTTTATATGGGCTCAGCACTGCTCCAACATCAAGTGTATTAACTTTAATACTCGAGTGGGCTGTCACATAATGTCGTCATGATCATTTAACTTCTCACCCTATTCAAAGAAAAAAATAAATCAACCAACCTTGAAATACTCATCCTACAGCTCCTTTAAGACCAACCCTCCTAAAAAAGACATAGCCAGTAAAGTCTTTCCAAGAAACCCCTCAACAGTAGTTGTCAAAATGTTCTCCCTAGTCCAGCTGAATCAGTTAGGAATGCAAATTCTCAGGCTTCACCCCTAAATGAACTGAATCAGAAAGTCTGAGGCTGGAGCTCAGCAGGCTGTGTTTTAATAAGCCCCACTGGGTATTATGATACATACTAAAATCGGAAAATACTGCTCTGAAGAGCGGGCAATATGGAGAGCAGTCCATCTGTGACAGCTGCACAGGCAAAGCGGCCTAACCACAGATCACCAGTAGTTTCTGCCTCTTACCTCTTGTGGCTTTCTGGTTGGCTGCCTCCTTGCTGTGTTGTGACCTTGTGGAGAATGTGCCACCTGGGTCAGGGTGACATTTTGCAGCTCTGCATCATCTGATTTCCGAAAGCTTGGAATCTTATTCAGAGTATCTTTCAGTTGTTTGTATTCTGCAACCTGAGTCTGCATAGAAATTGCACAATTGGATGCAAATTGTGCAATGTGAGGGGGGAAAAAAGATCATTTACAGATGGGCATTTAGGTTCACTGGAAGACTAGACAAAAATATTACATCCACATCCAATTAGGAAAAATACATAGTTTTCATGCATTGGCTATTCTTCTTGGACATGCGTAACTATTTGAGGACATGCAAATTAGAATCAATGTTAAAAGAAACAGAAAAAATACCTAAGTCAGATGTTAGTTAACCATGCTACATTAAACAAAGCTATAATTTTTGTAAATAACTTTCTAGTATAAATTTATTAAAAGATATGTATGCAATCATCTTTTAGCAATATGGCCTGAGTAACATTTTCACTGGAAAAGAATCACTGTGTGTGTGTGTGTGTGTGTGTGTGTGTGTGTGTGTGTGTGTGTGTGAGAGAGAGAGAGACAGAGAGAGAAAGAGAGAAGGAATTGCTCAGGCCACCACCCTCTTCCTCTGAGTTAATTTGTACTCAAGTAGGGTCCCCTACTTTCCAGAATGCTTCCTGGACTGTGTACTCTGTAGTTCTTGAAAACATAGCAAAACAGGTATGACATGGATCTGGATTTTTATTCCCCAATTCAGAATATTCTGTTGAAGTGCAGGTACAGGATTAGAATAAACTCACAAAGGTGTATCTATGTACAATATACAAATGTAATTTGATGTACGTGTGTTATAATATTTTTAATACAAACAGCTGGAAAACTATAAAACAAAATCAGTAGATATGGTGTATACACAGCTCATCATATACACTAGCACTGCTATCCTGAAAGAAATGTTGTGCGCATGCACACTTACATAAACATATACAAAGAACAAGGATTCATTTTGTGAACAAGATCCCCAGACAGGACAGCCTCCCTCAGTGTGCCCAGCAGAGTGAGAGCGTGGAGCTGGGACCAGCCAGGCCTACTGCTGTTACAGCCCTGCATACTGCCCACTGTGCTTCTGCCTCAGGGAAGAGACACGTTTTTGCTTTGCGCTAATCTGCCCCAGAGTGAAAAAGTCTGCTTGCTGAATCTGTGCCAAAGGAATGCCTGCATATAATTTGTAGTAAGGCGTACCTCATAGCTAGTCATCGCCCTTATCTCAGAAATCCATCAAAACACTTGTAAACCAACTTTGGAGGTCAAAGAAGAAAACAAGTAGTATCCACACAGTGATGCTTTTAATAGTTTACGTTACATGGCAGAAAATACAGAACTCAGTTACACTTCTTTTCTCCTCCTAGATGTCTAACAAGTGGTTCTGATATTAGTTAAAGATACAGGCTCCTGAGCTCCCACTATAGAAATTATAATTTAAAGGGTCTGGAACAAGGCCTGGGTAATGTGACCTGCAGCAAGGTCCCAAAGCACACACTTCAGTTAAATGTCATTTTGATACCAGGAAGATTGGAGCTTCAGGCATGGCAACTATCATGGGCCAACTACTTGTCGACTTCCCGTTGGCCTCAGCTTACCCAGTAGTTATAAAATGTTACACACCTTACAGAATATGAAGATCAAAAGCCCTCAACTGTATTCAAGACAGAATCCAGAAGATGATTTATATGAGAAATGTAGATACCTGAACCAGCATTTTTTAAAGGAAATTTAGGGAAAGTTCCAATATGGTGTTATAGACTTTGTGTTTTTCCAAAAGTCATATATTGAAATCCTAATTCTCAATGTGACAGTATCAAAAGTTAAAGACTTTGCAAGGTAATTAGGTCAAAAGGGTGAAACCCTCACGAAGGGGGTCAGTGCCTTTATAAAAGGGATCCTCAGAACTCTCTATCTCTTTCACTCTGTGAGGACACAAGAACACAGGAGTCTTAAAGCTGAAAAAGCCCCTCAAAAGAATCTAACCATGTCGGCACCCTACATTAGGACTTTCAGCCAGCAGAACTATGAGAAATAAATTTCTACCGTTTACAAGCCACTTGTTTTATGATGTTTTCATAGCAGATCAAACTAAGACACATGGCTTTAATTATTACCTTAGTCACAGCATAACTATTTTTAAAAGGCAAAAAATTAAGAATACTCTCTCAAAAAAGACACAAGAGAAACAAAATCTATACATATGTAAATATTTTTTCTATTACAAAATCCCTTCAGTAATACTGCCAGTGTGATTACTACAGAAATTAACTTTGGCTATATTTTCATGGATTTTCAGACTGTTGCTTAATCTGACATCTAAGGTTATTACAGCATACAGTAACCATACAGTCTGTCACAATTTACAGTTCAAAGAACAATCTCACATAAAAATGTCACTTAACAAAGGTTTATAAAAAGGCTTGAAATGAAGTAATATCCTCTAAAGTCAATTTAATTTACACACATATAAAAAATTACAGAGCCACAGTTTAGTAGAAAGGCAATGAATGACTATTTTAAAGGACCCCAAACATGGGAACTACTACCTCTGAGATGATTTAGGGCCCAATATGTTATATATTTTGATAATTTCATAAAAAGAAATAACAGGGCATGTTCTTAAAGGTAGTTGGTTTGTAACTTTGCCCTTTTCTTGTAATTCCTTTGATTGGGGGAAAAAGTAGAGTGAAAATCTAGTTTGATATAGTGACTGAGCCAGCCATCCTCATTTGTTTGTTTTTCTAAGAAAGCTGCGAAGCTCTCAGCATGGTATTGTTTTCATAAGCTCTCCAACACCTGTATTTGTTCACTTATTCATTCAGTAAATATATACTCAGGACCTGCCTTGTGCCAGGGGCTGCTCTAGGCTGTGAACAAATGGAGATTATGACTCTAGTTTTTCCTTCTCTATTGACTCTTCTACTTTTCTGCAATTTGACCAACACCAACCACATAAGCCTTGTCCCAAAAGAAATAGTATAAATTTGAATGCTGCAACTGAGGGAAGGACAGAAGAAAAAATAGTGACAATAATTTATTTAGGTAGCCAGCATCATAGAGTACTGTAGATCTCATACCAAGAGTTAACACAGATCAGACAGTTGTAGAATATGTACAGAACAATTTCTATGATTTAAATAAGTATTAGACTACTGAATACAGAACCTAGTAGAAGCAGAGATAGTCAAATGGACCATACAACCACTGCAGAAATAATCAAACATTTAATATTCTCTTGGATGAATTTGAAAAGCATGCACTGTTTTCAGAATTAGCATAGCTCTTTCTTAAGAAATTCACTGAAGATTGGCTTATAAGAGACTACATGCATAAAAGAATTTGAAAGTATTAGGCAGACTTTCAAAGAGCTGACAGAGGCTGCTACCCTTCTAACCTGTGCAGCAGCTAATGCACTCTTGTGGTCTTCCAAAGTCACTACAAGTTGTTCATGCTCGGAGAGTAAATTCTTATGCTGTTGCTAATCAAAAAAGAATGTTACATGTTGAGCTTTACATTATAACTCAAAATCTTTGTTATGAACTATCTAAACACCGCTTGCTTATTTGTGGCTGTTAACTTTGAAATTATTAGAGGGAAGACTAAGATTTATGTAATAGTTTAAAATCTAAAATATGCTACACAAATGTAATCATTTACAATGAACTCAAAACCAAAAAATCAAGTCTTTCATTATTAATAAACACTTGGAAACATAAATACTGTTAAAATACAACACTCTACCAAAAGAATAATTATCAGTAGTGAAAACATTTAGATTTTTAGACACCTTTCATATCTTAAAATGCTGAAGTGGTAAAAATATTAGCTGTGCTCCAGTTATACGAAGCCCACAGTAACAGTCTGGTTCGGTAAAGCAGGTCAAGTGACTTCCACAGTCATTCTGCAGAGTAAAGCAGGTACGCACCAATGACCCACGTGTCTGATTGCACTTTACCTTGACGTCTTGCAGTTGTGTGTGTATGTCTTGGTGTGCTTTCCTCAGTTGTCTATTCTCTTCTCTCAAATTGTATACAGTTTCTATATTAGGAAAAGAAAAAAAATCACATATAAAGCCTTGAAATTCTCAGGCCTTTGATTCTATTAGTTTCATGTCTGAAGAATCATATAATTTATTTTATGATTGACAGTATAATATTACAAATCAACAAAAACTACCTTCCACTGACAAATAACATGGATTCAGCTAGACATCTCAATAACAATCTGGCTCAGGAGTTTATACACTTTTAAACAAGCTATTCATTGTAGATTAAATCAAGGATTTTTAATTAATTATGAGTTAAAAATGAAGTCTTTCTGGCAATAAGCCCTTAGAAATAAAATTAACAGGCTTCAGCTTTGAGTCTCTTCACAAATTAAAAATAAAATCATCAGGAAGTACAGGCTCTATTTCTCATAGCATCAATAATTTTCACAGCCTCTAAAAGGCACTTCAATTACAAAGGCAACTCATGACATACGAAAGAGACAGAAATCTTACTTATCTGTTAAAAAAAAACTCTAATTTTTTTCTTTCTTCTACTATTGAGTTCTTGATTAACTCAAATTCAACTTCAAACAGGTACAAGACAGTTTCTTTCACAGCTACAATGTGAGACTGTAGAAGTCAGAGTGAAGTCCTAAAGTCTGCCCTTCCAAACCCTATTGTTCAGGGAAAATCTCCCTACTTAAAGATTCTGACCCAACTTCCTTATTTTCTTGGTAATTTTCCATCATTCCTTATATCTGTAGACTGCATATTAAGAACTGGCAGCTGTTGACCATGGCTATACCATAAACACCTTTTTGTGGGCCCCTGCCATGTTGGCTTACACAGTGCTTTCCATATTTGAATAGTTGTCTGAAATAGTTGCAAAGAAATAGGTCTAATACCGGACACTAAGAAGTTGAGTGATAATGGGCTGACTATACAATTCATTTTCCAATGGGACACATTTCTGAGAAGGAAAGGAGGTGTTATTAATAATTTGTCCGTGATAACAAGTACAAACTTGGATTGTACCAGGCAAACTGTCCCTAAGTGCCAGTCACTCCCTCAAGACAAGGCCTCAACCCTCCACTCAACATTCAAGGAAAGCGACAATCACTCTCTCATCGGACTTTATAGGCATTTTTGTTCCCTTATAATTCCTTCTTGACCCCTGGACATTGAATTCATGATTGGGTTTGGAAGAAAGATGGAGAACAAGGTGGAGAATGTGGCAGTGCTACATGATCACACAGCTACATGAAAATAATGGATTTTCTCAAAGATAAAAATAGGATGCTAGTGGCAATCAAAGCTTCAGTGTACCAGTGTGTGGACGGACGGACAGACGGACGGACACACACACACACACACACACACACACACACACACCATAAACTTTGCTGGTTTTTAAAGGAATTTCAGATTATACCCTTAAAGGCAGTGAGTCTTGTGTCTTTGCTGATTTCATTTGTCGAATGCTAAAAAAACCCACCATGCCTACCTCAAATGTTTTTATGAAAATTAAAATCATCCATACAAAGAGCTTCATCTGGTACTAACACAAGGTACACCTTTGTTAAGTGACAGCTATTATAATGATGACAATGAAAAACAATAATCTAAGCTTACACGCTATCCCCTCACTTCCCCAAGAATTCTAAATTCTGACCTTGCATCAGATTCAACTACCAAAGGTAGTTTGGACTATATATCTTGGCTTGCCACTTTGGCTGAACTGATCGCCAATGCTTTACTTTAAGTGTCCTGAGCTTTTTAAAGAGTCATAATCAAACAAAAGTGCTGATGTGCAAACTGCTTATGAAAATGTCAAAGGTACTATCCATACTTGGTTGTTTCAGGTTTCTCTGTAAAACTCATTCTAAAAATTGGGACCAAAAGCATTTTTGTCTTGCTCTCCCTTCTAAGTCATTGATATATTCCCTTTCTTATGACTAGACTTCTAACATACACTATATTTACTTCCTCTTTCATCTTGGGTACCTGAAAGTTCAGAATAGATAAGACTCAACCATCTACTACTACTCAGAACTCACACACGTGTGTCCTCTTTTTCATGGTTCTGATTTATTCTATGTACAAGTTGTTAATTTTTTGTTATACGTGGATCTTGTTTTTTAGGAAAAGTAATAAATAGAGTAGATATAAGAAAACTTGTTTTTCAGGGCTATTGCTAAATTTGAGTGAATGTACCCACATATATAAAGTTCTTTCTTAAAGTAGGAGCACAGATCAGGTTCCTTAGAAAATCTCATTCTTAGTATATTTTATTGAAACATCAATATTAATAAATAATAATAACTAATATCGTTACTAATTGCCTAATTTGATTTTTCAAATACCTTTTAGCTTAGAAAGTTCTTGCTCCTTTTCCTGCTGAAGCTGCAAGTATTTCTGCTTGTGGTCATTGAATGTTCTACTGAAGTCTTCCCCTTGTTTGCGATGTTCCTCTTCCAAGTCACTGTGTTGTTTCTTCAACTCCTCATGTTGACTCTGCAAGATAAAAACTTGAGCAGAGTTATGTATTCTCTAAAGTACACAAGATTCTTTCTTGACAGCATGGCTTTTATCCTGCAAGGAAATGAATGCAAAGGTAGTGTTCCTTTTCCCAAGACTGCTCTCCATTTGCAAAGCTTCCTTCCATTTCTACATTTCAAATGAATGTGAAAATAATTTCCCCCCCTTTTTTTCTTGTTGGTACCAGGGATTGAACTCAGGACCTTGTGCTTGTGAGGCAGACACAGCGCTACTAAGATAAATTCCCAGCCCCTTCCCTTTTAAGGTTGATGCTAAGAAGTTAGCACAAAGGATGAAAAAAGAGGTAATTTGGGGAAATTTCCAGAAACTCAAATTACTGTGGAAACAAGGTAAAGCTGATAGCAAAACTGTCTTCTACAGGGACTGTGGAATTTCTCTTTCAGCCTGATACTTTCCCACCCACCTATAGTGGTCCCTTGGCATTCACAGAGGACTGGCTCCAGGACACCCTTCAGATATGCAAATCTGAAGATGCTCAACTCTCTTAATGTCATAATATTTTTCTTTAACATCTGCATATTTAAAAACATCTCTAGAATGCTTATAATTCCTAATACAATGTAATGCTATATAAATTATATTATGGTATTAAGGAAATAATGACAAGAAAAAAGACTGCATTAAGTTCAGTACAGATACGTCCTTTTCATCAATTATTTTAAAAATACAGAGGTTAGTTGAATGTACAGATGGAAAGCCAGTGGATGTAGAAAGACAACTGTATGATTTTCTTGCTTAGGTTTTCAGCTTATAACCTGACTCTAATCACAGTCTAGCTAAACTCTAGTCTCCAAATCGGAATGTAAAATGATGTCTGCTTTAAGTCATGGACTGCACTCTTGTTAGTAAGAAAGGCTCTGGTTTCAGTTAAAGGTCTGTGCCTACTGATATGGAGAAAAGGGGAAATGCCAGACAAAAAGCTGGGTGCAAACAGTGGCATGATCTGCATGCTACGCAGACCGGTCTGCTGCTCATCTCTAAGTTGACAGAAACGATAACTAGCTCTCTTTTTTATTTTTTATTTTTCTGGCACACAATAATAATGAGTTTTACTCAAGGACTAAGGAAGGAGAATCTTTAAATAACAAATTGCATTCCTGTGGTAGGTAAAAATACATTTATTAAATATTGGTAACACAAAGGAAGCACTTTAACAGTTTCATAGCTCCTAATCTAAGGTAAAAGAAAACGCCCATGGAAAACTATGAGAAACTTAAGAAACAAACCAAAAAACCTTAAAAGATAAAAAGAATAATTAAATTACATAAACAGAGAGCCTGGCATATAAGGAAATGGGTAATAATATTAAATATGTTCTCTGTAAGTAGGCAGTAAGACTGTTGAGGCATTACAGTAGTTTTTTAGCCAATGTAACATAATACGGCACAAATCAACTTTCTGTAAACATTCTTCAATTACTTTAAAAATTATCAGTCAGCTCAAATATTGGCTAAACCTTTATTTCATTCATAAAGAACAATTTAAATTACTCACTTTTAACATCTGATGTTGGACATTCAATGCACTGTATCTGCTATTGGAGTCTTGCTGTAAATTGAAAAAAAAAAGTCAATAAAAGAAAACGAATCTAGTTCTCTTGCTAAGCAAAATATAGCTTCAAGCTCCTAATGAAAGATTTTCATTTATTTCACTCATGTAAGGTAAAATGAATGCTATGCTTGAACCAGGGTATCTCCAAGGCCATCTCTTTATTTATAGCAAAAATGAATTTCAATATTCTCATAGGTTTGCCACATTTCACCAGTGAAAACGCAGGACACGGAATCATAAAATGCTAAGTTGGCAGGGCCCTAAGAGATAACTTAGTTCTTCCTCTCATACTTGAAGGCACTCAGTCCCAGACACAGGGAGGAACCCAGACACACACTCATCACAGATGGCTACTACACTGTGCTGGTGCTCTAGTGAGGAGGAGAAGGCATACATCAGCCAGAACCAGGCCTCACAAGCTTTGAATGACTTAAGGGAGGGAAGAAAAAAGGTACTTTTCTCCCTCAACTCCAGTGGACAAGAAGTTCTATGTACAGATTTTACCACCAGGAGACTGATTTATAGAGTAAGACACTGAAAAGGGCTAAAGCACATGTTCAAGGTGAGTGATTCATTAAGCAATGGAGACAGGGCTGGACCCTGAGCCCAGGGATGTAGCAATCTGTACCTCTGCAGTTCACTGCGGTACCTGCACAAGGAGGCCTCACACATTCCTGCAGCCTTGGGCACCGGTCACCATCAGTACACAGAAGACACCTGCAGTGTTCCCTCTCATGTTGCTATGTTGATTTACCTTTGTATCACACACCTCCTGTTTTCCTCTGTCCCGTCCACAAAAGTACACACTCATATACTTTTTTCATATCTTCACAACTTCTAAAATGAACTATCTTTTTGTTTTATCATTTTGTTTACCTCCTTACTACTTTAATTTAGAAGGAAATTACATTACAGAATATACGACACCAGAAGAGACACAGTTTTGGTTGGAGCTTTTATCTTTTTCAAAATGGATGATATGCTTTTACTCTTTATCATTAATGAAGTTAACTTGTTCAATTTAGATACACATAATGATCACATTCATCGTATGGAATTTGTACCTGTAGATGATATATTCTGATTCTTATTTTTACCCATTCCCTTACTCTCCTTTCTACCCTCTCCCCCTGCTTATTTACAAGAGCTTTATTTCCATTTATCTTTCTTTTTCTTTTCTTCTCCTGACTTTTGCTCTCCCCACCCTCCCCCGCAGTGCCTTCCCATTTGCAGAGCTAAAAGCTGACTACCTCCCAGGCAATCCAAGAAACTGACTTTCCCAGTTTTAGTGCCCCTGAATACTAATGTTTTATTCAATTAATGCTACACACTTCTCTTAGAAAAGAAGACTTGCCTTTTCTGAAGTTAATTTGGACTTTAAAAATATTTTCAAATGCCAATTATCATTCCTTCATTCCTTCTACAAATGTTTCTAAATGCCAATTCTAGGATAGATCCTGTGCTAAGACAGTATGTCTGCAGAGGGAAACAGAAGTATTGCATCCCATGGAAAAGAGAGACTACAAATGAATAAATGGCTGAATAAAAATAATTTCTTTCCTGTTAATCACTGACACTATTCACCTTTACTATTATCATCAATAGTAGAACAATGTTAAGGCCTTCTCTGTATGGAAAAATGGTGTGGCATTCCTAGAATCTAGTGATCAAGAGTAAAAGATTTTACGTTTACATTTTCCTCGCTTTCAAGTTCAATAAAAAGAAATTAATAGGACGAGAAGAATCCTTACCCTTCCTTTATTTAGTGTTTCTTGTGCTTCTAACTTGTAAACAAGGAAATCTAGAAAAAACAAAATGGAGACAATAGAAGGAAAGTAATTCATCATGGAATTTTTAAACATGTAGAAGAATAAAGAAATTTTACTCAGACTTGCAAAACGTATTTTCATCTTAAATTTATCTACTTGGTGATTTGTATAGTATATTTGGCCTTTCAATGCTTCATGAAGAATTGAAGAAAATATTATGTTATCCTCCTTTTTACTTTATATCTATAAATACTGCATCAATAAAATCCATGATATAACCAACTAATTTAAAGTACATTTAGAATATCTCTATGACTGATTCTTGAAATTGAAGAGGAAAAAATAGAGTACATCTTAAGACAAGGGTGATTTATGGCTCCCCAAGAGACAGCACACCAAACTCCTTCAGGGCCTGAAAAGAGAAATTTAGCCATCCAGGCCATCTGCAATGCTCAGAAAACTTTATTATCCACTAGGTGGCTCTGTAAAATCACTCTGCACTTGAACACAAGGAAAATTCCAATCCTCTCAAAACATTTCAATTTGTTAACTTCTGTTCCTCATATAGGCACAATACGAGCACCCTAACCATATTGACCTCCCTTCTCACCTTCTACTCTAGAATGCATTTCAGACAACATCTCACTTAAATTTCAAGATTTATAACAAAACAGATAAATAAAAGTAAAAATGCAGATAACTTCAAATTATTAGTTGGTGAAAGTCTGCATTTGAAAAAAAATTTTATATAAATCCATAGCATTGCCTAATCCTTTCCTCCAATAATTCAAACTGAACCAACTGGCTACACCATTAAAAGATCTCAAGAGACTAAATCCAGTATTTAATTAAAAATATACCAAACACTGATCAATTCCTAATATTATAAACATGTGCCTGTGTGTGTATTACAAGTGCCATATTCTGAACAATGCTTGTTGTTCTCACAACTGTGGATAGAATTCCCAGGTATACCTATATACCTATATACATTCAGATTAAAAGTTATTATATTTGAAATTATACATATATATATATGAATTATTGCACAACATCTAATACATTTCTTACATTGCTTTTTTTGTTCACCTATAATACTGGCTTCAAAATGATATATGAGAAATAGCTTAGAAAAAAATCATAAATCAATGATGTTTCAAAGAAGAGTGTGAGAAAACCACAGACCACAAGTTACATTATTTACTTACCTTCCTTTGCTTTCTTATGTTCCAGTCTTTCCTTTTGTAAAGATTTCTCTAATCTTGATCTGTGTTCATATACAACTAGGGAAAGAAGAGTTAAAGTTTGTCTTCTAAGAATTAGAAATTCTAAATTCAAATTAACATCAATTTTCAAAACACAAAGAGAGCATTGAGGACTCTTATACAAACGTATTAAAAGTTCCAAATGGTTTCTCTGGTGTGAATAAACTGTAATAGTACATAAGATCCTAATGATATAATGGACAATGTGAAATAGGAAGAAAGGGGCTAATGGTGTAGGGAAAGTGGGAAGGGTGGGGGAAAGCTAATAAGGGAAAAGAAAAAAATATGAGAAAATGAAAAAATGGAAATGAAGTGTTTGTAAAGGGGGAGGGGAGGAGGGGTGAAGGGAGGACAGGGACAAGGGGAAAAAATGAGAACCAAGACCTGTTATGGAAAAGTACAAGATCCCAATGATGAATGTAACTGTACTGTATACCTAAAATGTACCAAGAAACTCAATGAGGAAAACAAAAGTTCCACATTCTGGGTAAGGAATAAACATTAATACTTCATACTTCACTGATACCCAGATAATCTCCCCTTTTCCAGATCAAACACTGATATACTGGCCTCCTTTGCCAGTGACTTTTCCTTCTCCAACCTCTTTAATGCAAGTGTCTCTGTGAAGTTCCCTTTCTCTTCCTCTCCACTTTCCTGACTTCAACATAGTCTGTACAGCAGTTATCCCTACGACTATGCTGCAAGCTCTTGCCTCTTAGGTGGGCTAGAGAAAAGAACTTCCACTTAGCCCATAATTTCTGGAGTCAGATTGATCAACATCTGAATTAAGGCTGCCTAAAACAATAAGAACCTCAGTAGCACACCAATGCAATGAGAGAAATGTGTTCCCACCTTGCCCTGTCAAAGCAAACAGGAGAAGTACAGAAGTAAGGAAAAAGGGACTCTCCAAAGAATTTACAAAAGTGCCCATAAAAGAATGAGTCAGGTTCACCATCTCCTATGGTCAAACCAATGGCAAACCAAGGTCAACTTTGTAAAACTTTCCTGCAGTCCCTTCTCTCTCCTGAAGAGCCCAAGGGTTCCTGGTGAGCCGAGGAGGAAGTGTAGAAATGTTGCAGGGAACCAGGAGAACAAGCCTGTAACATGTTTCTTCCCCACTCAGACTTCACCTCTGCAGCAAGCAGAAGCTGCAAGAGACAGAAGCCTTACCTTTGAATGAGTAAAATGTCTATTACATTGAACTAGACCAGACATCATAAGTGCTAAATTGACTCTGTGTTTATAAGCTATTATAAGCCTTTAAAAAGCTATTGAAAAGCATTTTGTCTCTTTAAAATCCTAGAGAAGCTAGAGAAATAACCGAGTCTGTTTTAGGTGTCATCCAAAAAACTCGGCTACACAATGTGGTTTGAACCGACAATGAGAGGAGAGGAGAGGATAAATTAAATTCCTGATCTACCCTTTGAATCCTGTTTGTTCAGCATCGTGTCAAGTGTGATCTCATTCCCTGGCAAGCTAAGTTAAACTAAGATAAGTTAAGCTAAGTTGCCCTGTCTTTTACCAGACCCAAGCTCCACATGGATGAGCACAAGTTCATCATCAATCCAAGCTGTTATATAAAATACACAGAATGGCCCCAGCTCTACCAGATGCCCCAAGTCTTCACGGTGCCAGTGACTTGCCTTGCCCACCCTGCTCTTCTTCCCCATTACAGCTGCAGGTAGCTAGCAACTATTATTCTCCTTCCATAACAGCCATCGTTTTCTCTACGTACTACATCTCTCATCTAGTCTGCCTATGCATACCTTCCATTTCCTAGGGTCCGTGCCTTACTCACAGACCCTAATTCCTACTCACTCCCCTGCTAACATCTTTGATCACAACCCTTGGAGTGTCTGTGACCACACGAAATGGCACGGTATAGTCCCCTGATAGCACGGTTGCCCCAATCTCTTCTCCCCTTATCCTCAGAGAGTCACTGTAAGTCTTTCCGACACCCTTCCCTGGCCCTCGTGTTCATTCTAGTCACATGATGGTCCTTTTCCCTGGACTATTTTGTAAACGAATTAAATGCAATTCCATATTCATGTAGCTCCTAACTAGTCAAAGGCGTGACACTGCACTAAACGTAGTTATGTTTAAGAAATCTAGGTTTTAAGTCCACTGCTTGTTCAAGCCAAGAGGTTTCTTGGGTTGATATTAATAGCCCCATCATGAATGATTTTTTGGAGTAAGGAAATAAAAGGACAACAGTTACCACTATGGAAGTTCACTAATCCAAACCATGAACTGCAAATTCAGCCTTAGAGAATTTCAGTCAGGGCTGGGAGATACACAGAGAAAGAGACAAATCAGAATATTTTCATGATATAACTGAGGCAAGCGCAGGGTCCTTAAGCGGGAAAGAAAACACTTGTATGTTTTTGGGTACTTCTGTCTGCGGCAGAACGTGAAGTTCGTCCTGGACAGAAGTGTTCAGGAACATAGATGTGCCAGCACAGAGGGAACCTGGCTATACACACCGGTTATATCACAGACTGGACTTCAGCAAACATGTGCAACATTTTCAAGGAAAGAAGCAAGGGTACTCAAGATCCTGATGAAACTAAGCTGGAGTGGCAGAAATGGGTTCCAAGTCTGGTGGTCTCCTGAATAGAAGTTAGGACCATTAGGGAGAAACAAGGCCAGGGTAGCAATGGCAATATGAATTTTTAAGCAGCATGGTCAAGAAGGCATATGTAGGGGCACAGACACTCACCACTATCCTGCATCACATCGAGCTCTAACCATTACTCAGTATTATGGAGGGTAAAGCACAGAAAGAAAATCTGAATCTAAAGTATAATCTTGCAAAAACTACACTTAATACAACAGCAACAATCATTGCACTCTCACTGTTGTGTTATATGATATGAGATAATCGGGTAGTGATGATTTTTGCCCAAGCAAAGAGAAAACTCATCAGAACAATGTTATCTTCCATAGGAGGGGAAAGTCCCTTAAACCACCCAGGGAAGGAGTTTGGAAGATCGATGTAAGAAGTATATGAGAAGGTGGAAGATGGTATTTTATTCCTTATTCTCTCCCCCGAGATTAAGTCAGAAAGACCAATGGCTAATATGAAGTACATATCTATTAAGGTGGTCATATAACTGCTTTTTACAGTCTTATATTAAATGAAACTATCCATATCAGTGTGTGGGGAGTGCCAGGAGAACAAGGATACCCTGAAATAAACTTTTGTAACTAACGTAAATAAAACCTGTGGAATACACACACAGTGCAAACATGTTTGTTGGTTATAGTTAAAATTCAAAGACACTGGAAAATCTGAGGCATGTGCATGAACATACAGAATTAAATCACTAATTGCAAGCTCTATAACCAGACAAATGTACCTTTGCAAATATGGTAGAAAAAAAGATGTGGCAAATAGGAATAAAGGATGATTTTGAAGCCATGGGGAGATGAAGGGCATAACACTGGGTTGCAACAATCCATCCCATACTTTTCTACTAAAAGTTTGTACTTTAGCATAATAGTAGTCAGCTGAGCATTCCAGTAGCTGGACATGGGGGATACAGGAAGCAATCTTTGTGTTTACTGACTTGGTACACAAATGGTAAGGTGTGTGCGTGTGTACAAAAGTGTCAGATCAGGATTTTTAGCCACATAATTCTCCATCTAACAAGTTTTATGTATGTTTACCTGAGCATCACAAGGGGTAAAATCTACCCACACACCACTTTTCTGTTATGAAAATGTGTATTTCATCATAATGGAATGTGGGAATGACCCTCAGTAACTGCACCTGGGGAAAGGAAATAAATCCATCTGTGCATTTACCCACTTGGCAGATGAACAGCAAGATGTGTACAGGAGCTCCAAAGCAGCAACAGGTGAGTTTTACCCATGAAATGCTCATTGCTAAATTTCTGATTAGGATTTTTTCCTAAGTTTTCTTTTGATTTTTCTAGTAGTAGTCGAATTCAGTAAATGGCACATGAAACACCAGATGTGCAAGTTATGGAAGAGGTCAAGAGTGAATCATCAGATTACTTGTGCATGGATGATGAGAATAATGACTGTGATGTTGCCCTTCGGAGCCAAAGTTCCTGTGACAGCGAAATGGAGCAAGAATTGACTGATATAGACACAGGGAATGCAAACCTCCTTGATTCAGATGACAAAGAAAACAGCAATGAGCGCATATTTGACTAGTCAAAATGTGGCAAAATGGTCATGCAAACAATGCAGTCCAACGTTAGAACTAGGTCTGAAAATATAGGGAGCTTATCAAGGTGAAAGCTATGGGCCAGGACTGCCATTCAATGTTGAAAACTGTATCAGATGAAATGCTACAAGATGTGAAATATACAAAGCCTGAAATACAAGTAAAATGTTCTGTGTGCAATAATAACCATATTCAAAAGTGCATTTATTATGGCACCTCTCTAGCTGAACTGAAAGCATTCATAGGTCTACTTAGCAGGATTTCTCATGGTAATTGAAGAAATGTAAAAGACTTATGGAAAAGCAATGAGTCAAAATATGGCATAAAAATGTATGCCATTGTAGATGTGAAGAGTTATTATGCTTTCAATTTACAAATTTACCCTGGAACTCAGTCACCAGATCCTTATTTGTATAATAATAAACCGAATAAACTTTCCTGCTATGTGCATATTGTGCAATATAGTAGGAAGCTTCTGACAAAACAGGAAGAGAAGAGATGTGACAAGAATGGCCTGGTACATAGGAAAAGGAATCTCAGCACACGTGCTGTCAGTGTGAGATGTGTGCACGAAACATGCATGAAGACTACCTGGGGTGTCCTAACAACTGACAAAAAGATTATTTTTGGTGTGGAGTTCGATTAGTATTTTCATTGGAGTTCATACAGGAATTTATTTCTGATGTTATCTTTTAGATTTTATAAGCAAGCACACAAATGATGTGAAAATGTTGATGTCTATTCTAAATGAACAATACATATTAAGAATTCAGTACTTTATGTTCCTGTTAACTACACACTGTGTAATATAATTGTGTAATGA